TGAGTTTAATTAATTTCGTAACATTTCCTTTGTCTTCAGGTCAATTAGGTCATCTTTGGCAAGGTCTTCATCACTGATACAGTCTATATCGGCAAGGAAAGGATTACGAATCCATGTTTCAACTTTAAGGTCACCTGAGCAGAAGTAACCTTTGAAAGAGTTTTGCAGAGTATCCAGATGTCTGCAGAATTCTGCCTGCAGAGAAATTGACAGGGTCTTGTCACTCGATTCCATCCTGCAGAAGCACTTCCTCTAACATTGGAAAGTTTGCATAGTTGTCTGCCTCCAACCTCCTCTTCCACAGTGGCAGCTTGGCCAGAAAAGCTTGCAGTCTTTCAGCAGCATCCATAATGGTGACTCCAGGGCCTTGAATCGCAAGATTCACCTCATTCATATGGCCAAAAATATCCGCCAAGTAGGCCAAGCCATGAATGAACTCCTCACTGTCAAACTATTCTGAGAGTGGGCTTTCTTTTTCTCTCAAAAAAAAGTGAAACTTCTGCTCGAAGTTCAATCAAGCGCTTCAGGATTTGTCCTCTGGAAAGCCAGCGAACTTCTGTGTGGTAGAGAAGAACTTCATATTCTGCTCCCATTTCTTGACAAAACCTCTTGAAAACGCGATGGTTCACAGCCCTGGCTCTGATGAAGTTGACGACTTTCACACCAGGAGACAAGACTTCTTTCAGAAATGCTGGCAGAGTCTTTGACGCCAATGCATGCAGATGTAGAAAACAATGGGTCACGATGACCTGAGGAGCTTCTTTGTTCACCAAAGCAGCAAAACCAGATGTGTTGCCAGAGTACCAAAATTTATCTTCCAGTCGAAATTTTGCTTGGCAAAGAAACTATTCACTATTTCTAAGATGACAATAGCCATTGTAATTTCCAAAAGGGGCTCACAAAATAGGAATTCTTATTTGATGGCATCAGCATGCATATAAAGGACGAAAACCAGGAGCTGGCTGCACTGAGAGACGTCAGTAGTTTCATCCAGTTGCATGCTGAATGGAAATGGCTTAGCTGCCAATTCTTCCATTACTTGCTTCAGAATATGAGAAGAAATGTCAACAATTCTAGAGTGGAGGATGTCATTTGACAAAGGCACTGCTGCAATTTTCATGGACCCCCTGAAGCCCATCCATGGACCCCTTGGGGTACCATGGACCCCAGGTTAAGAACCCCTGCTCTATAGATACAGGTTGAGATCTTGGAGATAAGAAGTTTGGGCATCAAAATAATCAAATTTCAGTAGTACTCAGAAATGCATGGCGATAACCAGGGACAATATCCTTGGACGCTATTCGTACTGGCAGACTCGACACTCTATTCATACTGGCAGACTCGACACTCACTTAACAAGTATTACGAACAATAAAGACAGTTAAAGCTTTCAACGTCACTCACAAAGGATCTTGTATGCTTTAACTGTAATCAGACATATCTAAGTTGACTCAAAACAATGGTGTTCTCTCTCACATTCAGATTTACTTTATAGAGAGGTTGGTTTCAGGAAGTCAGAGAAAATGGGAAAACGGAGGACTCGGGCGTCTTGAAGCGATGAGAAAACGGACGCCTCAGAGGGGAGACTCAATAAAGAAGGCATAGCTACATGTTTTGTGGGCTATTGAGTGTAATATGAATCGTCTGATTTTACGTTAACTAACATGTCCGACCGTGGTCATTACATCAACTCTACTCACAAGGGATCTTGAATGTTCCAACTGTAAACAGACATATCTAGGTTGCCTCACCAATTGCAACCACAGTTTCAATTTCAAATTCTATCATTACTAAAGAATAATGAAGTCTCGGGTGCACTCTAAGATTGAGAGAAACCGGAGGACTCAGGCGTCCTGAAGCGATGAGAAAACGGATTCCTCAGACGGGGTACTTAAATACAAAAAGCATAGCTACATGTTTTGTGGGCTATTGAGCGTAATATAAATCGTCTGATTTTACGTTAACTGACGTGTATGACCGTGGTCATTACAGTGAAACAAAGACCCACCAAACAGAAATTAAAAAGTATCAACCTAGAGAAGACCCAGCCTAATATTTCAAGTTTCATGGGGTCCTCATCAAGTAGGGTTGCTAAAATGGAAATGAAACTGTACATTTTTAGCTGAAAATAATTTGTCCATTAGCCTAAGTGAAGACCTGCTTGCTCTCCTTAAAGAGCTTATTTCCTGCTGATGATGCCTTGAAGAAAGTTACCCATGGAAACCAAAAAGCAACAAACACACTACGACTGGTCTTAGGGTTTCATGTCATTAAAGATGGAATTCTTAAACAAAGAGATCACCAATTTTCCCTCACGACTGGTCTTAGGGTTTCATGTCATTAAAGATGGAATTCTTAAACAAAGAGATCACCAATTTTCCCTCATTATAGATAAGACCACTACTCAGTCAACAAAATCTCAGTTAGCACTAATTGGAACATACTTTGATCAAGTGGAATACAAAACCAGTTATGTGTTAATTGACTTGATTGAAATGCCAGATGGTAAGGCTAGCACTACCTATGCAAAATGTTATTGGTTTCTGTCCAGATACATGCAACACAATGTTTGGGAAAAACCATTCGGTGTCACAACTACTGGTGAGCAATTGCTCATGGATACTGCCAGTAAAATATTCTTGTCACTTGATTAACTTGTGCTCTTCTCATGCATCGTTGATGCTTCCAAAAGCATTAGAGGATCTGTGCAGAAACATTTACTCACATTTCCATGTATCTTCACAGAGGTGTGATGCACTGAAAGAATTCCAGGACTTTCTATATATTGATAGGCATCAAATCTTATGAGCTGGACTCACTCGCTAGCTGTCAATGAAGGCTTGTGTTGACAGGATATTAGAGCAATATGATGCATTACAGCTTTATTTTCAGAATGCTGCATTTGAGTATCCCACAAACACAAATGACAGCATTTTGAGAAAGCTCAGTAACAAATTTACCAGAGCTTACCTTGAATTCATGTCCTTTAACCTTGGTGGATTGGTTTCATTCAAATTATTCTTTCAAAGTGACATGCCATTGTTGCACTTACTTAAAAAAGAAGTGTCTGGTCTGATATCAGCATTGTGCTCAGATTTCATGCAGTACTCATATCTTAGATAGACTGATATTGAGCAGCCCTATGTTCCTCTGAGCAAAGTTTACATTGGCATTGCAGCAACAGATACTTTGAACAGCATAACTAAAGACATAGGAGAGAGCCACCCTGATGTACAATTGTTTCTCACTCATTGCAGGGAATTCCTAATTGAATGTGTGCAGCAGATTCATTTGAGGTTCAATGATCTTGAAAAGTTTGACTTCCTTGAATGTCTGTCTCCTTCCACTGCATGCAACAAGAAAGTGCCATCTTTGCTGCATTTATTAAAATAAATGCCATATCTTAAAGACATTGTTGATGTACAAACTTTGGACAATGAATGGAGGCAGCATGCTATGTACCCTAATATTGCTAGTGATATGAACATTCAAGATTATTGACTCCTCATCTTCAGGCTAAAACATGCTGTAGGAAACCAGATGTATCCTAATTTGTCTAAAGTAATATCTGTGCTTTTTTCCTTCCCATTCTCTAATGCTTCTGTTGAAAGAGTTTTTAGTCAGCTTAAGCATATCAAGAGAGATCACAGAGGAGCTCCAAAGCATGAGAGTCTTCTATGTCTTATGACATCAAAACTGTGGTTGCAGCAAAGGGGGAGCTGTATGGCTGCAACCTTAGATCCTCCCAAAGAGATGCTTAAGCTTCATTCGAGTATGGTAGAAAATGTAGATGATGAAGAAGCAGCTAATTTGCGTAAGAAATTTATTGAGGAAATACGTAGAGAGGTCAAAGTGTGAGATAATTACTGCCATTAGGAATACAAATTAATTAAACTCTTCATGCCTATTCTTCTTTTCATTGCACCTTTTACCAAATGTACTTTTGCATAGGTATGTATATCTAGAACACCAGAAAAATATGATAGTACCATGGTGTAAAGGCAGGGGGTAAATACTGCTATTTACTGTGGCTGGAAGCATTTGGCATCTTTTTTCTAAGCTATTTTGCCAATGTTACGATTTGTCTCGGTACTGAAAAAATTGTAAGGGGGGACCTTTACGTGTTTTTTCACCTGATGATTAATGCTCCAATGCTACCTTGAGAGTTAAAATGTTCATATTGTGGTGGCTAATCTTCAGGTTATCCAAATCTTGAATAAATTCGCTACAAGTAAACCTCTATCTACGATGTCCCAACCTATGATAATCCACGTTAAAGATGCTGATAAATATTTGTCATCCCAACAACTCACTAAGTTGGTATATGGAACGCATGACTCGCTTCCTTTGTCAGATGAATTGTGATCTACCCAAACGCCAACTCGTAACCATCTGGTGAACAAGTCCAGCCGTTGTTTTTTCTTGGTTACATGTGTGTACTGTGGGGGAGAGTGGTGGATGCGGTGGATGAACATCTCCAGGAGGGCGTGCAGGATGCTCCACACGTGGCTCTTGAACACTATTGGCAGGTGGTTCACTGTGAATGTGGAATAGGATCATATAACCCAAGTAAATTTTGAGTATTTGTATATCTGGGAGAGTCAGTGCAACTAATTCATGTTTACAAGAGTCAATATGCAACTAATTCAGCTTTAGAAGAGTCAATATGCAACTAATTCAGCTTTAGAATAGTCGATATGTAATAAATTCAGCTTTAGAATAGTCAATATATAACTAATTCATCTTTAGATCAATATGTAACTAATTCAGCTTTAGAATAGTCAATATGTAACTAATTCAGCTTTAGAATAGTCAATATGCAACTAATTCAGCTTTAGAAGAGTCAATGTGTAACTAATTCAGCTTTAAACGAGTCAATATGTAACTAATTCAGCTTTAGAATAGTCATATGTAACTAATTCAGCTTTAAAAGAGTCAATATGTAACTAATTCGGATTTACAATAGTCAATATGTAACTAATTCATGTTGAGAATAGTCAACATGTAACTAATTCAGCTTTAGAAGAGTCAATATGTAACTAATTCAGCTTTAAACGAGTCAATATGTAACTAATTCAGCTTTAGAATAGTCATATGTAACTAATTCAGCTTTAGAAGAGTCAATATGTAACTAATTCGGATTTACAATCGTCAATATGTAACAAATTCACGTTTAGAATAGTCAACATATAACTAATTCAGCTTTAGAATAGTCAATATGTAACTACTGTAATTCAACTATGCACTGTACTATCAACAAATTTCGAATAGTCAGCGTATAACCAATCCAATTATCTTATCACCATATCTAGAATAGTCAAGGCTGCAACTAATCCCACTTTTCTATCATTAATCTACTTAGGATTTCTCAGACGATGTATTACCAAACTCTATTAATTCTAGCGATAGTGTATCTATATTTAATCTTTTCTGTGCCAGCGTTGATTCTGGCCGGCCAATAGTGTGCTAGAGTAATGGAACAGACCCGTCCCGACCACTCACCTATGAACGTCTTGACACCGATGCTCTCGATGCTCTCAATCTCCGTGTAGACCAGAAGCCTCGTGTATGTCTCGATGAGTGCCGGAGTCAGTGCCACCCCCTCCCCACGACTCGTGCTGAGCTTGTTTTTGTAAGTGCTGTAAAAAAAAAGTATGTTTGGTTAGATTTAGTTAGGTTAGGTTGGGTTAGGTTAGGTTAGGTTAGGTTGGGTGTGGTTAAGTTGGGTTAGGATAGGTTAGATTAGGTTAGGGTACCTCATATTGAATATCATTATGCAACGTGGTCAGCTGTTTGGACTATAAGCAAAAGAGCCATAATATATATATTAATTTAACCTAAACTACTACATTATTATTATTATTATTATTATTTTATGAATTGTGTTCTTATATGACATGTGAGAGGTCATCATTATTAAGGACGAATAAACACAGTAGAATTAATTACAGTTGTTTGTATCTAACCTAACCCAACCTGACCTAATCTAACCCAACCTGTCCTAATCTAACCCAACTTGTCCTAATCTAACCCAACCTGACCTAATCCAACCCAACCTGACCTAATCTAACCAAACCTGACCTAACCTAACCCAACCTGACCTAATCTAATCCAACCTGACCTAATCTAACCCTACCTGACCTAATCTAATCCAACCTGACCTAATCTAACCCAACCTGACCTAATCTAACCCAACCTGACCTAGTCTAGCCTAACCTACCCAAACCTGACCTAATTTAACTTAACCCAAACTAACCTGGCTTAATCTAACCTAACCCAACCTGACGTGACCTAATCTAACCTGACCTAACTTAACCTAACTCAATCTCTAAAACAACGTATACAGTAAAACCTCTATTTAATGAACTACAGTATATAGAGATGAAAGTCCGTTATATCGAGGGTTCGTTAGATATAAAACCCCCATTTAAAGGATTATATGGAGAGAAAAGTCCGCTATATGGAGGTTTCACTGTATAAACAACTTTCTCAACCCTCTACCTAACACAACACAATACAACACAACACAGCACAGCACAACACAACCCAATACAACACAATACTGTACAACATAACACCAACAACACAATATTACAACACAACTCAACACCTGAACAACACTATACAACACTTTAAGAACACAACTCAACACCTCAAGAACACAACACATCACCCACCTGCCCGATGTTATGGACGAGACGCATTTTAACTTGGACGGTGAGGGAGTCGAGCAGTGTTATGGAGAGAGGGAATGTGCTGCCCATGGCCACACAGTTTATACCGGGCATGGGTACAGTCGACTTCTGGTACGGGTCTCTGGAAATACTCCAGTGGGGGGAGGGGGGTGACAGAGAAGGAGAGACAGAGAGAAAGAGGGAAGAAAGAAGACAAGAAGGAAGAGTGAGAGAGGGAAGGGGAGAGAGGGAGAGAGAAAGACCACATTAGTTATAAAAATCATGAGATCGACAGCCATATTTATAGCAGTTGAGAGTGACTGACGATGACTCAGGCAACCTAATCCTGGGAAGTTGGGTCAAATTGATACTGTACTCAAATATATATGTACAAGGTGTGACATATTTTGGGGACACATGTACAGGGTGTCTCAAAGGTCACATACACATGTACAGGGAATCTCACAATTTGTTCACATATGTATTGGTTGTCTCATAAATAGGGCACACTTGTACTGGGTGCCTCACAAGTCATGCACACGTTTACACTACAGGGTGTCTCATAGGTCTCACACACACACACACACACTTGTACAGGGTGTCTCTCAAGGCAGGCACACACATGAAATACAGGGTGTCTCATAGGTCACATACACACACACACTTCTATAGGGTGTCTCACAAGGCAGGCACACACATATAGTACAGGGTGTCTCATAGGTCACTGTAGTGGACTTCTCCCCTACAACTGCATAGCCGCAGCCACCAGCTGCTACCATCTTCCCGAGCAACCAAGCGGCGGCATCACCAGATGTCACCGTATCCTAGCAACCGAGCCAAAGACCGGTTACTTCTCGGGTTTTCCCAACATGACTCATAGATGACTCACGGCTGCCGGGTATATAAGCTCTGTCTCTCCATTGAGATTCATTCTGGCCATTCTACTTGAACAAGCAACACCACCTCCTCCGCCGCTGCCTGGCGGCCCTCGCCTCTCCTCCGCCTGCCTGGCGGTCCTCGCTACCGCCGGCGAGCATGGCGACCCACCAGCTGTCCTCTGAGCTTCCTCACCAACCAGCTCTCATTCTGGCCCATCTTCCTGAACACGCAACACCTCCTCCAGCAAGCTCCACGCTGTCCAGCATTCATTCAACCAGGAGGCCAGCAACAGGCAACATCTTCTCTAACGAAGCTCCTGCACATCTACCTCCTTCAACACGCTACTCACCGAACGTCTCTACTGAGCAGCTCCTCACCACACGGCACCTCCAGCACCAGACTGTCTATCATATAACTTATATTATACAAGAATACCACCTTAGAGTTTCCATCCATCCTGAGTGCTAGACAACATTATACCACGAATTCCTACAAATGGTGACTCCCGGAGATAGGCACTCACACAGGATGGAGGAGACACTGATCACGCTCCCAGTCTTCAAGCAGTATGGAAGACTGGCTTATCCACACAGAAGCAGCTCTGCTACTCTAAGCAGACACCAGCTCCTCTTCCTGCCCCAAGCACCACATCCTACCGACCCCAGCACACCCGTCCTGCCTCAGACGCCGACCCCGGCCCAGCAGTCACCCCTGCCGCCCTTGACGCGGCCTCTGTTCCTGAGTGCGGACCCACACACACCCCTCTTTTCTCCCTCAGGTACTCCCTGCTAATGTCCTGCACCCTGCTGCTGTCGTGGACCCAGCTGCTGTCACGAGCCCTAATCCGCTTCTGCTGACGCAGCCCCTGCTCCTGACCCAGGCCCACACACACCCCAGCAGGCGCATCTGACGACTCAGTACCTGCCGTGAGGGAAGCACACAACATCCATCGCCTCCACACACCCTTTTTTCTCCCTCAGGTACTCCCTGCTAATGTCCTGCACCCTGCTGCTGTCGTGGACCCAGCTGCTGTCACGAGCCCTAATCCGCTTCTGCTGACGCAGCCCCTGCTCCTGACCCAGGCCCACACACACCCCAGCAGGCGCATCTGACGACCCTGTACCTGTCGTGAGGGAAGCACAACATTCATCGCCTCCACACACCCTTTTTCTCCCTTCTCCCACAGATAGTGTGTATCTAGACAGTTGTATTCAGCGATCGGCTCATTCACGCCATCGCCGTTGTCTCACATGAGGCATGCACCACCCGGTCTGCCTCACATGTGCTAAGCAACTCTACAGACAACAAGTCTCCTACACCGCCTGGAGGGAAGGGGGAGTATTGTAGTGGACTTCTCCCCTACAACTGCGTAGCCGCAGCCACCAGCTGCTACCATCTTCCCTAGCAACCAAGCGGCGGCGTCACCAGATGTCACCGTATCCTAGCAACTGAGCCAAAGACCGGTTACTTCTCGGGTTTTCCCAACATGACTCATAGATGACTCACGGCTGCCGGGTATATAAGCTCTGTCTCTCCATTGAGATTCATTCTGGCCATTCTGCTTGAACAAGCAACACCACCTCCTCCGCCGCTGCCTGGCGGCCCTCGCCTCTCCTCCGCCTGCCTGGCGGTCCTCGCTACCGCCGGCGAGCATGGCGACCCACCAGCTGTCCTCTGAGCTTCCTCACCAGCCAGCTCTCATTCTGGCCTCTCTTCTTGAACAAGCAACACCTCCTCCTCCGCCGCTGCCTGGCGGCCCTCGCTTCTCCTCGCCTGCCTGGCGGTCCTCGCTCCTGCCAGCGAGCATGGCGACCCACCAGCTGTCCTCTGAGCTTCCTCACCAACCAGCTCTCATTCTGGCCCATCTTCCTGAACACGCAACACCTCCTCCAGCAAGCTCCACGCTGTCCAGCATTCATTCAACCAGGAGGCCAGCAACAGGCAACATCTTCTCTAACGAAGCTCCTGCACATCTACCTCCTTCAACACGCTACTCACCGAACGTCTCTACTGAGCAGCTCCTCACCACACGGCACCTCCAGCACCAGACTGTCTATCATATAACTTATATTATACAAGAAAACCACCTTAGAGTTTCCATCCATCCTGAGTGCTAGACAACATTATACCACGAATTCCTACATCACACTCACACACACACACACACACACACACACTTGTACAGGGCATTTCACAAGTCAGACATATACATACAGTACAGGGTGTCTCATCGGTTACTCACACACACACACACCGTAGGGTCAAGACCTATTCAGGCGCTGCTCCCGCTACGCAGCTGCCCCCCTTGGCCAATGTCTGCCCATTCCCCCAAGTCCCTCTCCCCGACCCATCCTCACCACTGGGAATCTACATAATCAAAGTGACAATTTCGTTTCGGAAAGAAGTGGGACCAGTGATGAACAGTGACGAAAAGTGTTTAAGCCAGTGAATTCAGCACTAGACAGTACCAGTGAAAGCCGCGACCCACCAGTGAGATAAACACCCTTGGGAACTAACCACCATCTTCTGACAAGGAGGTGCTAATCCGTTCACCCTGGGAACAACAGAGGGCCGGCCGGCTATGCACCTGACTACGGGATAACACAACATCACCGTGACGTCCGTGAGGTCCTTCATATCAACACCCGAGGACGATTCATTGTACCACGTGAACACCACACAACTCGGTGTCTTTATGACCACGTAAGATCCTTTTTATGAACACCCAAGGATGAGTTACTACACCACGTGAACACCACACCACCCGATGCTTCCATGACCACATGAGGTTCCTCATATCAACACCCAAGGACGAGTTACCACACCTTGTGAACATCATACCACCTGGTGTCTCCATGACCAGTCCAGGCCCAGGCCATCAACTGTAAACTATAATAATTTGTATGTTCAATCATTGTTCCTTCTTTCTGTAATGAAAGCTTTTGTTAAACGACCCACCCACCCCATGTCTTTGTATGAAATAAGTCATTTTTGTCTAATGCATATTTTCAGCCTTCGGGCTGCCGACTTTTCAATAAACCGTTAATTATTATTATTATTATTATTATTATTATTATTGTTATTATTATTATTATTATTATTACACTTGTACAGGGTGTCTCATAGGTCACTCACACACACACACACACACACGCACACACACACACACACACACACACACACACACACTTCTACAAGGTGTCTCACAAGTCACGCACACGTATACAGTACAGGGTGTCTCATAGGCCACAACAGAAGACAGCAACTGGGCAACGCATCAATGAACAAAAGGAAATCTACGGCACTTCAATTTCCCAATAACCGAGAAGCCTTCATTCGATACCTGATTGGTGGAGTAAGCATACACGAGCAGGGCAATTCTGTAGTCGGCCA